AGATCAGCTTCCACCTCTCAGAACAGCAGCCTGTCGGAAAAACAGGGGCCCAAAATAGACATTTTCCTCATAAAGGCCTCCTTCTTTGTAGCTGGAGAAGCAACATCTGCAGGGCAGTTTCTTTTGGGGAAAAAATCGGGCAACGTATCAAAGAAACCTTGAATCTCCTGTATAATAAGGAGTGGGAGGAGAGCGCTCCTTCCATCTTGCTGAAATGAAGAGTAATGTAGAATAATAAGAGTAAGAGTCATAAAAAAGCCTATTTCAAAAAACGTCCTACCAGAGATTTGGCTTTTAAAAATAACCTAAAGGAGTTAATGACGATGGCTTTCCAGGAGCACAGATTGCGGCCAGGTGATACTCCGTGAGGGGAAAAGGCTTTGGTTTCTGTATTGCCACCAGAGCTTCACCCTTGATCCAGGGCTACAATAATGGACATCCAGATGTAAATATCATGATGATTTCGTGTAGCCATGGACTTTAATTCGGACTTGATGTAAGGGCTTGATTTACAGACACAACTTGTATGACAATATGAACGCAAAGCAGACAAACACAGTAACCGGGCAGCAGGTCACTCGGAAAAGATTATTCGTCAACAGTGTCTCAGTGTGCTCCTCGGCACCTCATGTTGTTTTAAGAGAGCAGCACTGCAGTAAGCGAACAGTACAGCACCTTCCCAAAAACAACCCAGAGTGTTCAACAAAAATGGACAACTCAAGCATAGGAACACAAAATCCCAAAGAGTTGAAAAAAAACACCAGACTAAAAGACATAAAACAACTGATAAATGAATAAAGAGAAAACAATGAACCGTCAGGGAAGGAGAAGATCCAGAAGAGAAGAAGATTTATCTGTGTGTCAGCGCACTTGCTAGCCTGATTACTCATTACTCATCCTGATTACTAGAGTAGTGGTTTATTTGTTAATCTACCAGATTACTCATTAGTGGAAAGGTATATTCGTTAATCTAGCAGATTATTCATTAGCGTATGGGCAGATTTGAAGTTGCCTTTCTGGGGGATCTCTGCTGGTTGGCGGCTTTTCACATATTGCTGCCTTCAATTCCATTTGCAGAAGCACGCTGTGCTTGTTAGTCATTCATGGGAAACTAACTCTGTTCCAGTCCTAGAATATTGTCGCCCTCGCTCGCTTGACATTTGTGGCACTGGTGATGTCGGATGTTTCTATTGCACACACACTTTTGTGATTATGATGATTGTCCCGAGTGATGACAGACAACAAAATACACCACCTGTCTATGGCAATGTTGTCCAACACCTGTTGAAGTCATGGAAAAAGAGTGTGAGCTGTGCAAAGAGACTGGAGGACAAAACACAAAGTCACTTAACTCATGGATCTACATATTCTGCGCTTGTGCAGTGTTCCAAGTTATAGGGCACAAATTAAACCTCATCCCCCTTACAGAAGGCGTCTACAAAATTTTCTTTCCATAATCTGGAGACAAAGGAACTCTCTCTCCGAGGACTAGGCACACAAATCCCACGACCTAGGTCTGCGGACATGGTTTTCGTTGCAACCAGTCACCGGCGTCTGTTTAGGATAAAGCGTGACCAAAGTACTGTAAGTGGAATGAGAACCGACGGAGCGAAGGGGCAAAGATGCGTGCAGAAGGAAGAGGTGAAAGGTGAGAGGGGAAGTGATGAGAACTGTCTCATATGGAGCAGGAGTCTCGCAGCCTTGTCTTTGAACGGGCGAGTTGCTAATTGAAACAATACTGTGGCATCAAAGCCTGGGATCCAATTCATTCTCCTTATTCAATTTGGCTTGTCAGAAGGTGCACATACCCCTCCACACTGCCATACGCTGAGCTATCCCCTGACTCTTTCCAACATCTGTGCTGGACATCCAGTCCTGACTTGCACTGAGAAACTGCAGAGATGAAATTTACCACTCATGGATTTGCTTCACACACGCTGCTCCACTAAACTAGAATTTTGCGTTGGCCACCACTGCATTGAGTGCCTGAGAAACGATCCGAAATAGACTCCAACTACCGGTGATTATCTGACGTTTTATTTCCGTATTCTTTCATTCTGCCAGTATTACTTGGTGTGAGAACCCAGTTCTTTGAATTCCCCTCACTGCTTCGCATTGCAGTGATCATAGCTGCAGTTAACACTAGATCTGTTACTAGCAAGTCAGCGAGACGCGAGACTTTATCATCATTCAAGGTTGCGAAGACAAGCTCTTTCGCCACCAAGACCAACAGTTTAGTCTTTGTAGTGTTCAGAGAATCAAAACAGAAACAAAAAATGCTACAAAACGCATTTAACCTGAACCACTGAGAATTATTTTCGCATTTTCTATCAATCACATCTTGTACTTTTTGCTGTGGTAAACTTGAGGACTGTTTTCCCTCTTAACAGAGAATTTTTCATTAAAGCAAAGTGTGTGTGTCAGCCACATGGTTCTGCAGTGTGTCACAGACAATACCCCCCACACATGGCCTTTAAGTATGATCCCCAGCCTCCAATCTGGGTCCTGTATACCCCCAGAGTACAAGAATAGATGTGTTACTGAGGTGAACCCAGTTTGCACATTTTCAGCTTGATCTTGCCCACAGAATGGAAAAGAATAGAACACAACATAACATAGAACACACAACACAATACAACATAACATAGAATACAACATACCACAACACAATTTAACATAACATAGAACACAAAATAACACAATAGAACATAACATAGAAGACAACATAACACAACACAACAATAAACACCACAGCATAATACAACATTACACGACATCAATCCATCCACTGTCTAACTGCGACTTCCAATTTAGGGTTGCACACAAGCAACGGGAGCAAGGCAGGGTACACCCTGGAGAGGACACCAGTCCATCGTGAGGCAGACACACAGACTCGCGCACACTCACACCAGGGCCAGTTTTCCCAGAAGCCAGTTAAACTACCAGAAGGTTTTTGGACTGTGAGAGGAAGCTGGAGCAGCCACAGGTAGCCCAGGTGAACATGGGGAGGGCATGTAACCTCCACACAGACAGACCCCCAGGCCTGGGATTGAACCCGGGTCAGGATCTGTAAAAATGGAGCAGAATGTCTCACTTCCATAGAACAACACATTCAGCTCCATCTTCACCTTGGGTTTAGACTGAGAGGGGGTGCCAGTGGAAACCTCTGAACGGAACCTGCCTCATTTTCCTGCATTTATCACCAGAGATATGATTAAAACATTCCCATGGACGCAAAAGAGCCACGTGAGTAGCAGTTGGCCAAAAACGCTCACTGTTCACCAGCAGCGAGTAAATCCCGTATTTCCACAGCCTTCACGCTGTTTATCCTGTTGAGGCTGTTGCCATGACACCATGGCTTGTAAACACCTCTGTTCTCAGCCCTGGCCAAGCTCGTCCTCCCTCTGCGTCTCCCTCTGAACCCTGGTATCTTAACTCCCTGGGACAGGCAGGGGCAACCCAATCACTTCCTTCATCGGTTTCTCTCTTCCTTCCTGTCCAAGTGATCATTTCCCCACCTGTGACTAACGGAAACGGTGGAACACAGAGACGGGAGCTGATGTCACTGACTAAGCCTGGACACCTGATGGGCAAGTTGTCCTTTATGTTTATGTGGGCTGTTGCTTCTTTTTGAACTGTCTGTGTGTGTGTCTGTCTTCATACATGCACATCTGTGTGTGTTTGTTTGGATACAAAGTTGAAACAGAGCACAGGGGCTCTTACATCCAACTAGGTACTGCTACAGTATATGTGAGAAACGTTTAAAGTTTATTCATAGTAACTTAATTGTCTCCCTCTTCTTTTTGTCTTTTTTAAGTTCCTGTCCTGGCTCTTCGGGTCCACATTTTGAAATATCAGCCATGGCTACTTTTTAACCAGCTCAAATTAGTAGCACATAAATTACATAGGCTGGCTGGGCCTTTCTCTCTCACCGGTACACCAAAGGAGGCCCCCAACGTCAGCCCAGAATACACTCTTGGTTTATTGGCTGGACTTGCAAACCATCAAACCATCAGCGCACTAGAAAATCCTATACAGCACCAGAGCTGGTAACGTTTATGAATCTCACCCTTAAACACTCCGCCAAAAAACAGATAATCAAACATGACGCACACACAGAAAGTACTGTAAAAGCAGCCTCATACACACTTCAACTCTTTCCAAAGGTCCTGTCACTAAGGCACCTAATTAAAAGGCAGGGACATCTCACACTTGGAAATATATTGCCAAGTCATGAGAGTATGCACTTCACTACACCTAAGACGACACTTAAATTTAATAATTGAAAATGCTATTGTAATAAGAACAGTTATTCACTGAGTTTCGGGTGAATTTTTTAAAGAGTCATTCAGCAAAAAGATATTTTGGCACTGATAAATATCAAGTGCCTTTACTTCTATTCTACAATTATACGGTTTTTTTTAAAGTATACCACGAACCCCCTGTATCTGGCACACACAGGAATATTAACATTTAAATCGAGGCAAGCGCTTTTAAAGTTTAAACAGTTTGGCAATCCGCTTGCTTGTAAACAATAACTCGAGGTGTTGGGCTGTAAAAGCGGAGTAGGGTGTATCAAAACGCACAGAAAGAGACAGAAACAAAGCGCTAACGAAATAACGTTAGATAAACTGGACGAAATAAGGTGGTAAAACCATGAGATAATGCAAAGATCCGTAGTTACTCAGCTGTTCTTTCGACTTGTCACAAGAGTGAAACTTGTCCGACTGATTTGCCGATTATGTTCAGCCGTTACAAAAAAAAGTGACGGCTGAGTTTGAGTGTTTTATGAGTTTAAGTGTTTATGCTCACCGCTGAAAGAAATGTCGTGGTTTTTATTCGTGTAATTAAACATCTACTATGAATTTGCAGCGCAAACCTTCACTTCAGCCTTTAACTACCCCTTCACTTATCAAGATATCCGTTTAGTCAGACGCCCATGTGCTATTAAAAAGCCTGCGTGTCGGTGAGATTTCTGTCCTTAAACCGCCTTTGCGACTGTTCTTAATTTCAGTTTGCCAGCTGGACTCAAGTAAGGGGAAAGAAAGAGTAATATGAATTCCTAAATGCAGTACCTGGCGGTCGTAACTCCTGAGGGTGGGACTATAAGGATGAGTGTGGCAACTCCATCCTCTTTATCCTGAGGGGACTGTACAGAACAGACAGGTAGAGCTGTCTGGAGCGGAGGACGCTGTCGGACGACTGGGGATCACAGGCTTGAGCAATTTTCAGATAGCGGTGAGTTGCAGTACTCTGTTTTTTTTTCTCTTTTCCTAGCACGAACAGTATGTAAAGTTAGAACGCAACGTTATCGCAGCACCAGCTGCGGTTTTAACCCCTCAAGAAAAAAACAAATCACCCCGGCTTGAGGTTTCAGTTTAAATAGCCTGCTTTGAAGTTGAGCTCTGTAGGTTTCACTAACGAACGGCGCTTGTAGAACATGAGGTTTAACGTCAGGCGAGCTGCGAGCCAGTTTCTACAAATTTAATTCAGATTTACCAGATATGTCGGAGAGGCCGTGGAGTCCGTGGTTAGTTTGAAACACAGTTATCACTTCTTTAATAGGTTTTGATATATATATAGTAATTTACTCAATTATAGTACTCTAGATCATCATTATTATTAATACCATGAGTACGAGTATCACTGAGGGGTTGGGTTTTAAGCAAACATTTGTAAAGGAAAAAAAATGAACGAGAATTTCATACGCCTAGTAATAATTTAGAACGAATGCAAAATAGCTAAAAGGTAAGCGAGGAATGGACACCACTGATTCTACAATCCATTTCTGGGCTGTATCTCCCGTCTATCCTAACACGAAGGATTCACTCATGATGGTCAGGAAAACCTGAGCGTTATCGCAGTTTGTCATTTCAGCACAATAGTGCCCTGTAACTGAACGATGGTAAAAACAGCACCTCTTGGTTAAAAAACAACAACAGTACTCTCTTGGTGATTTTCCCTTCCACGTTTACCATCTATCGCTGAAATTGGTCACTGATCTAGATTATATGGCGTTACCTTGCTAAAGTCGCAAAGCTCTCCGTGGTCTACATGCAACAAAAATCTTCGATCTTACACTGACAGAAAACATGACTTAATGTGTATTTCGGTTTTGTACCCAGCGCGGCATTTTGGCCGTATCGCATTTTGTTTTTGGCTGAAAATAACTCATCTTTTTTTTTTTTTACCAAAGTACAAAACGAAATTTAGTCCATTGGAATGGACTGCGCTGAAAACATGCTAAAATAATTTATTGTAAAAAAAAAAGTAACGAGTTCAACGGAGTTCGTTTAAATGTGAAATGGCACAGACGGAGGTCTAAGGGACTGGCCTTTCATGAGGAGAAGACCCCTTTAAACCTGTCAAAGCTTCACAGCACAGCAGAATCTACAGGAAGCCCGTTGTTTTGTGACCGTTTCAGGCACTTCATTTTAATGATCTGAAACTTCGTTAAATATAATTTTAAGTGTATAACATTTCTGGTTTAACCATATGACAGGTGCCGTTCAGATTTCACAGCAAAGCGGACGAGCTTTAGTCAGAACAGTCTCTTGGTAGCAGGTTGTGCTCAACCGCCTCCAAGCCTGCACTATTACAATCTATCGGCGTGCTGCGCGTGTTCTTTTTCTTTTCCACTCGCGAAGATAATAGTTCCACACTTCGGTAAAAAAAAAAAACAACTTTAACCATACTGTGGTTCAGTAAGGCATGAGGTGCGCTCATCAAATCCATCCCCAAGTTTGGTTGCAAAGGCTTAACACGTTTTTGTTCCGAGTGAAACTGTGGCCCTGCTGTGTGCAGTTGTTGCAGCAGCTGATGAAGTTAGGAAAGGGGGTGGAATTGGGAAAAGGGGCACAGGGCGGAGGAGAGTCTGTTGAGTAACGGAGGAGACACAAGTTACACAGTGTGATAGACTCTAAGGTACTGTCAGCATACACTTTTACTGCAAACAATAAATAAAGGGACAAAACCAACATCGCAAGTGACTCCCAGGTATGTGAATTTAGAGCCATATTATTACTGGAAAAAAAATCGTTTTATCCTACAATCCAAGTGTGTAAAGGGGTGGATTATGTTTAAATCATGGAGCTACAACTTTTCTGAACAAAACCCCAAATGCAAAAGGCCCCCACAGTGATATCTGCTGAGAAAATATATTTTTCTGGCCCTGATTCCGTTAGGCGAGGATCGCGTTCCGTGCGCTTTTCCGCTAGCGACACACTGCCAGCGTTTTATATGGGATTAACGAACGGGACACACCGCTTTATGAAGTTGTAGGAGGACAAACTCTCGGACATACGTCCCGCAGCAACCCCAAAAGGCATAATAAGGTCTGAAACGTGGGCTTGTGCTGTCTGTTCTTCTGTGTCTTTTTCCTCGGTCATTCTCGATGGCCGTTCTGCTTCGCTGCAGTCGCTCCTAAAAAAAAAAAAGTGCAGTGTCGCAAACCAAGCAGCAAGGCCATGCAAATTTTTGATATGGAGAAAAAATAGAACCCTTTGCACCTACTTCCCCTTTTTTCTAAAGAAGAAACAACAGATCTCATTAAGAGCAGCTGTGAACAATTTCAGGCCCTTGAGTCTACCCTCTGAACAGCAGATGATAATAACCTCCTTTCAAACACTTGGTCTAATCTTGAGATGGGAAAATGACTGCAATAAGCACACCCCCACCCCTCCTGAAGATCCAGGTTAGACGCTTGGCTGAATGGCTCTCTACTGCTCTCTACTACTCTCTAGAGTCGCTGGAAGATGGCACTTCAGGACTTTTTCTGGGGTTGAAATACAGGACTTTGAACTGCCGTGTACTTTAAAACAAAAACATACAGAATAGCTTTACAAAACCAAAATAAATTAACAAGACGGATAACATTCTTAATGCACTTCAAAAGCCCTCCTAATCCATCCTAATGCATCGAGTAGGCTCTCAGTGCCTGAGCTGAGCATGGATCAAGAGCCTTTACGCCTTACAGAACCCACTCTCCACACAGTACTGCACGTCTTCCTGTCCTGCTGTTTTCAGAGTTTGTGATCTGGGGTTGTTTGCAGTCAGGCACATCTGCCTGAAGTGGAGGGACCTGTGGCGGGGCTGGGGTACCTGGTATCTCCCCTGAGCCGCTGCCTGTGCTGTCTGTCTTTCAGCCGGAGGTTGCAGCATGAGCTACTACATGGATCCCGTCCCTGCAGGCCTGGCCTCACAATCCTATGGCCGTCCCAGCATGATGGTAAGGCCCCACTGCCTTCGTGTGCATGTGTGTCTGTGAGTGTACGTCAAGCTCTCCCAAGTATGCCCATGGAACGAGGCCTGTGGTACCTGCTTATTAGCCAGAATCCAATCCAAACTGAATCCAACGCGTTACCCTTCAGTCCAGGGTGCAGTGGAAATGAATCCACCTGCCCTCTAAGAGATGAAAAACAGACAGAGGTCCAGCACCCCCAAAAAAACCCTTCTACCCAGCAGTGCCCCCTACCTGTCAGCGGAGCCAGCTGGAGTAAAGGCAAACAGATTTGAGGGAAGAAGTGCCAGCAAGGCAGCAGCAGGTTCGAGTTCGTTCAGACCTGGACAGCGATCCAGGTTGTCATTCGCTGCAACTACTCGGGGTCAAAACCTGGCACCGCCGCGGAAAGCAGGACTCTCAGTCCGCCGGGAGAAAGGATGGGTGCGGGCTCGGAGGGGAGCTCTCTCGCGCGCGTGCCTGGATGGAAATGTTGCTGGTGGAGCGCACATACAATGCAAACAACAAAAGGTGTAATTGACGCGGGCTTTGAGATGAGATGGCCGGGAGTCATTGGGATTCATATCAGGTACGTATTCATACAAAGCGCGGCCGAAATGTTTCCATCTGTATGCAGAATGGGGGCCTGTTAATACGGAGGAAGGAGGTCACATGCAAATGTTGCCTGACCTACCTCGGTACCAGGGCTGATGGCAACAGCCCTGAACGTATCTAATTGGCTCAGGTGGTCTTGTCAGCTTTTGAAATTGAGATTACTGTACACAAGGCCACGGTGGTCAAAAGGCGAGAAAGGCGAGGTGGAAAAATCATTTTCTTTTGGGGGGGGGGGGAATTTATGATTACCAAAATAAAAATAAGTAGGCTTATCGCAGAGCCTTTTGTGTCCTTAGCCTCTGAAAGGAGCTGCCGGTTTTCGCTGTCTCCTCAGTGGATAAAAAGAGTCCATGTCCTGACTCTACCTGTCGAAGAGGACTCGGTTTTAAAGTGAATAAAACGGGCACCCCCTCTCGCCTGTGGGTCTCGTGCTACTGCTTGCTTTGCTGATCTCCGATCAAGGCTGCCTGCCACTTCTCGGACAAACCTGTGTCCTTCAATGCGTCTAGGGCAGTTCTGTACTTTTTGATTTAGGTATGAAGGACTAGTTGTCCTACACTTAAGTCTCTACATTGGAGCAAGTAAAGGTTTATTCTACGTTTCGGCTGTGGAGCCTTCTTCGGGTGTGAATCTCTACATTGGTTGCCTATAAAGTCACGTATTCAATACAAGATCTTGTTACTGACCTTTAAGGCTGTAAATTATCTGCCTCTATCATACAGCTCTGAACTCCTCCATGTTTACACTACCCCCTGTAGGCTCCAGTCGGTTGAGGCTGGTCCTCTGCTCACAGTACAAGGACTAGATCTCAGACTTTGGAGACTTTGCCTCTGATCCTTTGTTATGGAATGCCCTTCCTCTGACTCTTCAAGAGACAAAGTCTTGTCTCTCTTTAAATCTAAAGTCAAAACTCACCTTTTTACTAGGGTCTGATTGCCCTACATTCAATCCTGCATGTTTCTAAAACAATTCTTTCTTTTAGTTGTTATTGTACTCCATTTTTGTTTATTCCTTTATCACTATGTAGAGAGTCCTCGGGTTTGGAAGGGTGCTTTATAACTAAAACGTATTGTTATTAGTTGTGTATAGATCAGTATCCAGTGGTGACTGGTTTGAGTCACAAGGACTGCAGCTAAATTACCTGTAGTCATTACCTCTGCCGAAAATAAGCTGAGATGTGAGTATATCCCAATCCTTAAAAGGGGAGATCACCTGCTCACCTTTTCCCACACCAGGCACATGCAATAGGGGGTCAGATGGGAAGACTGTAGTTTGGAGAAGACCGGAACGTTCTTGGCTGGACCTCTCTGGCAGGCGGAGAGACGCTCTTGTGTTGAGAGAAGTGGAGCAAGCCCCAGCTGGATTAACAGGTTGTAAACCTGACAGGCAGCCGATAAACCCCGTCTGGCGTTAGAAAGAGGCCCTTATCAGACTGGCCGTCACTCCCTGAGACGCAGGGCTCTGGTTGGAACAGGGGCGGGAGACAGTCTGGATCGCGGTGGCCGGTCACCACAGGGATTCTATCAGGACGTACGTGAAAGAGACCAGGCCCCGACAGTCGCACAGTGTGCTGTTCCAGCCTGCAGTGCAGCGCTGCTCACTTCGTGTTCAGCATAAAGGAAATCACCCCCTTCCTCCCCCATACTTATTGAAAAAAACAACTGTCAGTATCACCCATCCAGTCAGAACACACCAAAGCCAGACGTGATGACAAGACTGAAGCACAGAGACTGTGACCAGGGGTAGGTTGCACTATAGTGGAGTTTTTTAATAAAACCTATAACAATCGCTTTGATACGAACAAAGTATCCAGAACCTTCTCCCTTTCTTCGGGGTGAGAAGGCCGGGCCCCTCTACACCCATTTTTGACTCTTGGCTGCGTCTGTCTCTCTCTGCCACTGACTCAGGGTTCCAGTCCGGCTGTTGGTGAAAGAGCTTTCTTTACAACTGGATGGCTGTAACCAGCTACTGTACCTATCTTTGAGAACCTTTGAGCTATTTCTGTGGACAACATTAAAAATGACTACCCCATTACACCATGAGGCAGTGCCCAACAATCTTGGTACCAGCGAATCCTTCACACGAGTCCTTTTAAACTTTTTCAGCTGAAGAGCCACTTTTTCAAGCGCCGCCTGGCAATGTGCTGAATGCCACAGGCAGAGAACTGCAGAGAAATTCATCTCCGTGGTCTTGAACAAAGCGGACGACGAGGAAACAAGTCTTTTATCCTAGAAATCCTGGCAGCTATTGACTGGGTCAGCAGTGAGACCACCATCAGAGGACACAGGGAGGAACTGCAGACGGAGGCCCATTCAGGCATGCAATCAAAAGCACTCCTTTACGCGAAGAGTAGCAGATGTCTGGAAAAAGCTGCCCAACCATGTGGTGAAAACAGGTTCCTTCCAATACCTCGTAAAATAACAGGTCAGGATCTTTGGATCAATATGCTGCTTTCGCCCAAATGAGTGACATGGGATGAAAGCCCTCCCCTCATTAGTAACCTTTTACTGTATTTCTATTTCGCATCATATAAAGTGAATTATTCAACTGCAATGTTCGTGTTTCGTGTGTTTGAAGCCCAGGTGCCGTGTGTTTCTCAGCTGCAGTACATCACAGAGAAGGATCCCCACAGTGGGCTCCAAAGACATCTGTATTTTGGTAGCTCGCCGTTTGTACTAGAGCACTGACGACAGAAGAACAGTATGAAGAGGAGGGGGGAGGGGTTCTTCTGAATAATCTCCTCCCGTCGGCACTTCTGATAACTGTCCGCTGTCACCAAAACAGAAAAACGCAGCTCAAACGCAGTCACAAACCAAAGATGTTTCTCTCTCGATTCCTGTAACCACCAGATAGTGGGTTAACTTCCCTTGCCTCACACTTGTCGCACAGCAGCTCTCTGAAATCTGTAGGACTAAAATCCCTTTGCGACTGCCCGCAGGTTGTTTTTTTTCCACGATGACAAAGCATCCGCACGGTGTAGCACAATCCTCTGGAATAGTGCAAGTGACTAAAGTCAAGAAAAGACAAATGAGAGATGAGAATTGCCCAAGACCCAGCATTTCCACTGAAGGTCCCGTGTCACCCAGGAACGCCCTAGTCTGTGTGCCGCCCCTCCTGCTGTTTCGTCTCTGCGAAGGCCAGGAGTGAGCGTGCAGGTTCACTGGGAAACAAGAGGATTTAGCTGAATGCCAATTTTTCCTCAAGCTCCATCCGGGGTAGAGCCATGTGTTTGGAATGGCCTCCTTCATCTGGGAATGTCCCTCTCGTTCTCTGGTTCAAACCCGCGCAGCGCACTGCGATACAGCCCAGGGGTTAAGGGTCCCATTTGGGTGACAGAGTTATGGGAGCAGGCCACAATGCCCTCCACCAAGTAACACACCACCGTCACAGAGCGGGACAGCTCAGCACCCCTGCCGACGAGGCGAACTTCGTAAAGCAACTTTCTGACAGTGTGAAAGAGCCTGCGGCATGCGGACAATGGCAGGTACAAGCAGGGCCACTACGAGGAAGGAGCAGGAAAAAAAACACAGAAAGAGTAATGGATGAAGTAATTTAGCTGCACCCAGACAGCAGAGAAAGAGAGTGAATTGCCAGAATGGTGCAAAACCAGTGGAAGGAAAGTCAGCGTGCATTTACTTTATTTACTGAACTAAACTGCCCACCCTACAGTGAGTCATCTGCATAGATAAACTCCCAGACCCTGTCATCGTTTAATGGCAACTGCTCTGGCAAAGATAGAATTCCTCTGCCTTCGTCATCATAGCTCGAGATCGGCTTAATGCAGGCTAATGAGTCCACTTCCTTTAAAACACGTCAGAGGGTATTCATGTGAGCTTGATGTAAAATGACATCCACTGAGCAACCGGGATATTTAAATAACGATTTAGGAGGAAATAGTTTGATTCCGTGCTTTGTAGCTGTAGAATGAACTGTAAGTGAGATGTAGGGGAAGAAAAGCAGACCAATTTCTAAGCAGGTCTTAAGCTGCTTCGATACGAGGAGACGTATTTGCTGTCACACTAACACGCCACGCCTTTTGTGCCGACCAGCTCTAGAAAGTCTGATGCTACGGATGCTCTTTTTTCCCTACAGAGACACGGTTCTATGGGCATGTACCCGGATCCTGGTGTGACCAGCCCCTACCTACCACAGCAGTTCTGCCAGCCACGCCCATACTGTCCACAAGAGGTTGCTCTTCAGGAGGTCCCAACAGGCCACGAGTTTTGCGCTGCAGGTAGGAGGAGAAAGTGGCGGTCAGCCATGCTGTCATGCCCTTATTAAAGGAAGCAAAGGGGAGAATACTTGAGCCCCATCACTAATAAAATCTTGGGTATAGGTTAAAACCTTTTCTCGTAACGGTAATTTCTTAATCCGGTCTATTTAACTGACAACGACGCCGACTTGACACAAGTTGAAGAACGCCGTCACCCTGACATAATCATGACGTCAGCTTAGCTGCTCTCAAAAGTGTAACGCTCCAACAGCACATGGGGTTAAAGCACACGTGTCTTACAAAGCACATATTAACACGGACATGATGCACAGAAGACACCCAACAAGACTGCCTGTTGAACTTGCACACTAAGGGTTTCTGAATGTACACCGTGGGAAATCCATTTCTGAATTTCAAGACATTTCATGTGAAAATAGATGAAAAACAAATCAGGATTCACGTTCCAAAGTTATTTTCCGTATGTGAGCGTTTTTACACTTTTATTGATGGGTGTCATTTTGATCATCTACTGAAAGACCTTAATTTTAATGCTTGTTTTTATTCCATCCAAAATCGGGTGCGGGGTCAACGTTTGGCCACCAAAAAGGGTGAGACTGGGCGGATGGGAACTGCCCGTGTCTTCGCCGAAAATAAAAGACGTTCAAAACCACTTGGCCCCCCTCGTGACAGCACTCGTGCCACCACAAGAGAGCACAGCACGCAGCTCCAACAGATCCCTCGCATGTTTAAAATAAAAAAAAACCCAACAACCAACCAATTCAAAAAAGACAAAAAGTAAAAAAAATAAAAACCGCCGCTACTATTAAAACCAAAACGAGAAATAGATCGCGGAGCTTTTGAAACGTGCTTCACACTGTGACTGGCATGCTTGGAATTCCTGGAAACGTTTGGGTTCCCAGGGCACATCGCTTTTTCACAGATTTCTAACGTGTTGTGGGTTTTTCTGGGGGGGGAGTCAGCCTGCTTCTGTGGCGTGGGCCTCACAGGCTCCTCTGAGGCTGTCTCTCCAAAGGGGACAGGCGACACTGACCCCTGAGCAATGCCTTTACCAGATGCCTCATACTTTCCACCCCAAAGTGGCCACATGCCCTGCATTTTTCAGCGTTGACTTTTTCCCGTTATTTTCAACTGGAACATTTCTCCCCACTGTGCCAGCTCCCCTCGACATGTCTCCCCTCGTTCTGAGCGTGATTTATCCCGGCAGAAAAAAAGGGACGCGCGCTCTCTGGGAGAGGGAGCATCCGCTGAACAGCCGCTTTCACTCCCCGGCTCCAGAAGCCGGCCGAGGGCGGAGGGCCGGCAGTCTTTTCCCAAGCTTGGGAAGACGACTCCCAGGGGGCTCGGCCCCCTGCGCTGCATTAAGATGGAGTTTGGTCATGCGCGCGCGCGCGGCTTTAGCCAGACTCGGGCCAAGCGCTCTGCTCCGCGGGGCAGCGCGCAACCTCCAGCTCCAGCGCGTTGCCTCGGCCTTCTGCTAGCGAGCGGCTAACAGAGCCGAGAATTCCAGCTTGTTCCACGCCCCTGCCACTCTCGAGGTAAAGAAGTAGCTCCAGCTCTCAGTTTTAAATGCACTTTCACCTAGTTTCCACTTGTGATATTAAGCAGAATGTCACCGCCTACGCTCTGTGTCCTGAGGAGCACAAGTGTACAGGGAAAGGGAGTACTGATTTCAAATCAGACTGAGTGAAAAAGCCAACAAGAAGATTAGAAATGGGCGCTCGCCAGAATGGTGTTTGAGAGGATTAAGAGACCGCTTTCACTAATTTTTCACACATACCCAAATAGTAGGACTGACAGATATGGGTAGTCAAATTGTAGGCTCCAGCTTCGGGTGCCCAAGCACTTCCAATACTGTTGATCATATTATTTGTAAAGCAGGAGTGAACACAGTTTTACTTTATCCATGTTTGGGAGATTACCATAGGATCACTCCCACACAATGCTACATTATTCTGTCTTATTGAGAACACTTTGTGTTGTAGTAATGGCACGTCCAACCCCTGTGTCACGTTAAGAGGACACTCTTGGCCTTGAGCTTGATGGCACGCAAACTTGGCCGACACCTTCCCCACCTTTAAAATCACCCCTGTCACGCTGGCCTGTCGCAGGAACGCTTTACTTGTGCTCTTCAAAGTGTTCTCGTCATCCCAGAATCCAGGCGACGCTCTTAATAAAGGTCTGTTCTCTCCCTGTGCGCCTCTCTCGGTCCCACACACACCGATGGGTGTACACAGCTGCGAGCCTGCCAGCGGGGTCTTTTTTTAGGGGGACGTGATGTTCGTGAACCCGAAAGCTGTGAAGCTGCAGCTGGACAGTGTGTGTGTGAGAGCGAGAGAGGAGAAAGAGGAGGAGGAGGAGGAGGTGAAGGGGGCGGGTGGGATGTTGGAGAGGGGATATGGAGGGGATTCGTTGTGGGGCCGGTGGGGGGGGGGTGGGTTGTGCTGAAAAGGGGCACGTCCTCGCGAGCGCAGGCACATTTTTTATTTCTAAAAGTAAACAGACGGTCCGCGGGGGTCTGGAGGTTATGGGAAAGGAGGAAGCTGTGATGCTAATCAGTCAGGCACACACTTCCCCCCGACAATAAAGCCAAAACCAGAAAAAAAATCAAATAAAGAGCGCAGAGCCCCACCTCCTTCTGGGTCCGACGGTGGGCAGTGACACAGTCCTCTCAGTCCCCGAGTGGGACTTAGTACTGTGGGATAGCGCTGGTGCAGTCTGTCACAGAAAACAGGTCGGGATGCTTGCTTTTTGAGCCTGCAGTTCCTACAAGGGCTGCCAACAACAATTATGAGAAGCAGGAGCAAATTTCAGCTCCCGTGTTGATTGGGTTGGACTCTCTGTTCACACACCTCAAGCGGCGACCTATTCCCAGAGACAGCGGAATCGCTCAGTCCGAATGTTTCCGAGATAAAAGCTTGCGATGATATCGGAAACAAACCATTCAGAGAAAGAGAGCCCCACGGAAGGCGATCTGAAAATATCCCCATGCGGGACAGGAGTGGCTTCGCGTTATTAAAAGCCTGTCTCATGGTTTGGAGATCAATAGTTCGAGTCTGGGCTGTGTCGTCAGCTGAAGGGGGTCGACATAGTTTTCAAAAAGGCTCGCTAAAATGTTTCAGCAGACCCACGCAATGTATTTTCTTTGTCCAGTTTACAATATTGTATGAAAGGTGTCCAGTTCGGCAACTGAAAATTGTTATATCAAAATAAACTTTATTCCACAATAATGAGCACACACCGTAACCAGTCATGCAACGTCATGCAATCTCTTCTATATGACAGACGTTATTAAAAGGGGTGACTGTCCTTTATCAACCTGAGCAAGGGGATGCTGGGGCTGGATTCGCACAATGAAGTCTCTGCAGGCCCTACTGTTTGCAGTTGTCGGTGCCTTTCCTCTGTCCCAGCTCTGAAATTGCAGTCGTCCAGTCCTCCGCAGGAGCTCAAAGGAACAGGGCATGGTCTCTGGCGGCGAAGTTGATCTGATGAATTAAGAACGGGCAATTCCATATTTTTCCGCGTTAAGATCTAAATGCAGTAAAGGGCGATATGAGCCAGCGGGGCGAGCGTTTCTATTTATGTAGGCTTCCGCCTCCTGTCTGTGTGGCTGTCAAAAGTGGTTTTGTGTCACGACACTTGTTTAGTGGGAAAACACTGCATAGTGCTTTCTGTTGTCCACAGAGAAAGGCCGCACCAAGCTTTCGAGAGCTTCACGCTCTGATCTTGTGGTCCTTCGATACAGAGGAGAGCCCGAACGGCAAAATAAAAATGATACGCTGATCACAAAAAAGCTCTTAGCAACGCATCATTCCTAACTCAAGGCTTTTTGAGGAGTTTTGTGAATACGTTTTTTTGTTTTGTTTTTTTTTCCCTCCCGAAGCAAAACGAATCACTTACAGGAACAGAAACATTTCCCTGATCTCACAATAGTCACATCACCCACCGCCTGTGAGGAGCTTCTAATCAAACACCCGCATGATAAAATCAGACGAATCAATAAATCATCAATAATCAATCAATAAAATCATGAGGGCCTCTGTCAATCTCCTTTCCAGCACCATAGGTCTGAGCAACAGTGCAAAGGTCCATGTAAATGATATTAAGAAAGCCCAGGTTGCAGTGATACCAGGGGAAGAGAAAACAGAGGCTCTCGACTGACAGACACCATCTTTTTTAGCTGCAGTCCGACATGCCAAACCAGACCAGAATTATCAATACCGAGAGCAGAGGAGTATTTCAAAGACCATATACCTCTTTAAAATAATACCAAGAGCCGCAGCTATATCAACCTGCAACTCACAGCTGGCAGCCCACTGAAGCTGTGAGCCTGGTCAGTACCTGGATGGGAGACCTCCTTGGAAGAACTAAGGTTGCTGCTGGAAGATTTGTCAGTGGGGCCAGCAGGGGGCGCTCACCCTGTGGTCTGTGTGGGTCCTAATGCCCCAGTATAGTGACGGGGACACTATACAGTAAAAAAGGAGCCATGCTTTAGATGAGATGTAAAACCGAGGTCTCTGTAGTCATTAAAAATCTTAGGGCATTTCTCGCAAAGAGCTGTGTTTCCTCAGTGTCATGGCCTCCTAATAATCCCCATCTCTGAACTGGCGGCATCACTCTGCTCTCCTCCCCACTGATAGCTGGTGTGTGGTGAGAGTACTGGTGCACTATGGCTGCCGTTGCATCATCCAGGTGAGGCTGCACACTGGTGGTGGTGGAGGGGAGTCCCCATTACCTGTAAAGCATTTTGAGTGCACTGTCCAGAAAAGCCCTATATAAGTGCAAGGATATTATTATTATAAGATGATAAAGTCTTTTGGCATTAAAAGATGCCCACTGTCTGTTGAGAGCTGGACAGAGTCAGGATGCGGAACTAGGAGCTACTTTCATATTCTTCTACGAGAGGCCAGGCACATTTAAAATAAACTTTAAGTGGTGATCAGGACTTCTGGAAGGACAATTTATACCATCCTAAATAGTATCCCTGGAAATAGCTTAATCTG